GACAAATCAAAATAATTCATCTTATCAACAAATTCAAAAAGTATACAATCCTCTGAACAGATCCAGAAACAAACCACACGACAAAATTCAACATCAGTTGTGACAAAAACTCTCAGCGACAGGATTAAAAGGAAACTGTCGATCTAATAAAGGATGTCTACAAAATCTTTATACAAAAATAAGCTAAATATAGTATCATATTTAATATTAAGACACCCAATGTATCCCCACAAAACTGTGTATGAGATAATGTACGCTTTTACAACTCCAATTCAACACTGCTGGAGGCCCTAGACAGTGAAACAGACAAGAAAAAGAAATGAAAGACACACTGATCAGAAAGAAAAAAATAATAAGACCATCTCTACTCACAGACAATGTTACAGTGAAAAACAAAAAGAAGCTACAAAAATGCAACAAGAAGATATAAGAGGGTTTAGTAAAGTCACAGAAAAGTATCCATTATATGTTCATATACTAGCAGCGAGCAGTTGCAAATTAAGACCAATAAAAAAACACTTTAATTTGAGGCACTAGCATCAAAATACTTAGGGATGTACAATACTCACTAAACATAACCAAATATGCACAAGATTTGTAATAAAAGACTGACCTAAAATAATTGAAAGATATACCCTGTACATGAGTTAAAAGATTCACTATTAGCAAGGTGTCAATTCTCTCGCAAACTGATCTACAGATTCAATACCTTTCTAACCAAAATTACAGCTGGCTTTTTTTGTGGTTTCTCGAAGCTGATTTAAAATTTACAAGGGAAGGCAAAAGGCCTAAGACAGTCAAATTTTAAAACAACAAAATTGGAGGACTCATATTTGATTTCAAGTCTTCTTACAAAGCAACAGTAATTAAGCTGTGTGGTTTTGATTTAAAGCATACACACATAGATCAATGGAACAAAATTGAGTGCAGAAATAGACCCACATGTATGTACAAATGATTTTCCACAAAGGTGCCTTGGTGAAGAAAGGACGGTATATTCAACAAATATAACTCCTACCTTATGAAAAGTTAAGTCACACAGATCGTAGGCTAAAATGTAAGCCATAAACTGTAAGATTTCTTAAAGTAAACACAGGATATCCTCAAGTGATTAATGGATAAAGTATGTATGGTATACTCCTAAACGGAATATTATTAGGCCATAAAAAGGAATAAAGTACTGATACATGTGACAGTAAACATAAACTTTGAAAACACAGTACTAAGTGAAAAAAGTCTGACAAAAAAGACCTATTGTATGATTCCATTTACATGAAATGTTCAAAACAGGCAGATCTATTGAGACAGAAAGAGTCCTAGTGGCTGGTGGAGGCTAGGGAGAGAGGAAAATGGACACTGGCTGCTAATAGGTACAGAATTTCTTTTTGCTATGCTGAAAAAACAGAAAATCTTTGCGGCTTTGGGTTGGAGAGAAAGCAAGACCCATAAATAGAAAAACTTGATAAACTGGAAATCTTTAAAGCTAACAATTTGGCTTTCAAAAGACACTGCCAAGGAAGTAAAAAGACAAGTTTACAGATGCAGTACAAAAAATTTTTTTTTTTTGCAGAACACATTTCTAAGAAAGAATTTATACCAGACTATATAAGGAACTCTCATTTAAACCTGTTTTTTTTTAAATTTTTAAAAATGTTTTATTTATTTCTAGGAGAGAGAGAGACAGACAGTGTGAGCAGGGGAGGGTCAGAGAGAGAGGGAGTCACAGACTGAAACAGGCTCCAGTCAGCACAGAGCCCGACGTGGGGCTCGAACCCACGAACCGCGAGATCATGACCTAAGCGAAAGTCGGACGCTTAACCGACTAAGCCACCCAGGTGCCCCTAAACCTGGTTTTAAAAAAATAGGTAAAACAACACAATACTTCATGGAAGACATGAATGGCAAAAAAATACATGAAAACATGCTCAACATCAACAGTCATTAAGGAAACACAAAACCACAAAAGAAAAACCACTATCCGTGTATGAGAATGGCTAAATTTTAAGAAACTGGTCATACTGAGCGTGGGCAAAGAGGCAGGGCACCTGGAGCTCCCTTCCAGGGCTGGTGTGGACTCAAAATGGGACAGGCACCAGGAAAAGTTTGCTAGTTTCTTATATTCACTTACCAGATGGCTTAGCAATCCCCAGCCTACGTCTTTATTTACTCAAAAAGAAATGAAAACAGATGTCCACACGTACACCTATATGAGAACTGCCTGTAACAGCTTCAGTCATAATTGCCCCAAGCTGGAAACAACCCAAGGGTCCATCAACGGCTGAATAAACCAACTGAAACTCTCACGACAGGCTTTTTAAAAATAAAGACTCAGAAGCAGTGATGAGAAACCCAAGGAAAGTCTGAAGAAACTTCAGCTGTAATAATACCAAAAGGATTGCAACAAAGCAAATTCTAGAGTCATCTTGGGAAGACCCAAAGGTATTTTTTAAATGTTCTCTGCTTAACCTGGGACTAGGTAGGGTAGTTCACAGACCACCCTGAGTCACACTGCTGGCATGAGTTTCAGGCTCCTTAACTGACTAGTTCTGTGATGTCGAGCACATTAGCTGTACCAACCTCGAGGTGTTAATGTAGAGATTAAAGAAACTGATGTATAGGGGCGCCTGGGTGGCTCAGTCAATTAAGTGTCTGACTTCAGCTCAGGTCAAGATTTCACCGTTTGTGAGTTCGAGCCCCTTGTCAAGCTCTGTGCTGACCCTGCAGAGCCTGGAACCTGCTTCTAGTTACGTGTCTCCCTCTTTCTCTGCCCCTCCCCTGCTCACACTCTGTTGCTCTCTCAAAAATGAATAAACATTAAAAAAAAGGAGTTTATATTTATATAAATTGCCATGTGTGTGTGAATATACATATATATGTATATGTATATATATGGCAATTTTTAAATGCCTGAGCTGGTTATTAGCTATTATTATTGCAATTATTATTCTGATTAACCAGGTCTTAAAACCCTTACTATTTGTTGTTGCCTAGTTTGAGAAACTGTATGATTCATTCTCTATCTCTGCCTTTTTTTTTTATTAATGAATTACAGTAAGATGAATCCAAACTAAAATCCTACCGCAGATTTGACAAAATTCTTCCAACTGACTCGTAAAATAATGATTTTCTCGGGGCTCCTGGGTGACTCAGTCAGTTAAGCATCCAACTCTGGATTTTGGCTTAGGTCATGATCTCACAGCTAGTAAATTTGAGTCCCACACTGGGCTCTATGCTGACAGCACAGATCTTACTTGGGATTATCTCTCCCTCTCTCTCTCTCTCTCTCTGCCTCTCCCCTGCTTCTTCCCTCCCTCTTTCTCTTTCTCTTTCAAAATAGACATGAAAATAAATAAAATAAAATAAATTATTTTATCATCTCTTTGAAATTTTCTAGGCATTCTACAACACAAGCAACAAATATTTTAACCCACATGTTTTCTCTGTTCATATCCAAGCCACGCCTCATGAATTCTGATGCCATTTGCTGAATTTACTAGATTGCTTTCTGCTATTCCCTGTATTAACAATTTTTCTTGTTTCTGTTCTGATGATGACTTTTAAAATCAGCTTTCCATTGGCACTTAACACTTTGGGTATCCTTCAGTCTCCCAGGTGCACAGCTTAAAAACACAAAAAGGCACAAAACTCTCCCTTCTTCATAGCAAGTAATAAGATGTTAGGAAAAACAAATCTAGAAATCACCTATGTTCTCTCTTTCATGAAATTAAACCTCTTTTCTTCCTGGATCTTTATTCTTTCCTCAGTTAAGTGAAGACACCGAATTAGACAAAAAAGGCTCTGAACCAAGTATTTACATAATTTCAACTCTAACTGAATATATGAAAGAACACAGGTAGCATAGGATAAATATAGGTCTCTAAACACTGGGTATGCTAACTGGTGGCAACTGGTAGGATGCAGAATATAATCCGATGAAATTTTGTGATGCCAAGATATATAAATTATGCACCAAAATGAGATTTAGTACAGACATCCAGTAGGGGCTCTAATTAATTTTACATCAAACTATTACAAACTTTACAATTTTTATCTTCATTTATAACTGGTATGAAACCTATCATGTCTAAAGTATATAAAATAAACCTCTTTGCTATGACATTTTATTATTCACTTATATATTTTAGTTTACATGCACTGGAATGAGTAACTGTCATAAAATGTTTAAAGACAACACTGAAGTACACATTTCCCACGTGCTCTCCAGCCTCCCTTTTCTCTCTGGTGTGGTTATGATCTGCAATGATCAGACTTTACCTAAATCATCTCATGGCATCACATAACTTTCTCTTAGAAGGGTAGCGTAGAGGCGACTGGTTGGCTCAGTCTGTTAAACATTCAACTCTTGATTTTGGCTCAGGCCATGATCTCATGGTTTGTGAGATTGAGCCACACATCAGGCTCCGTGCTGACAGTGTGAAGCCTGCTTGGGATTCTCTCTTCCTCTCTGCACCTCTGTGACTCGTGCTCTTTCCCTCTCTCTCGAAATAAATACACTTTAAAATTAAATTTCATTAAATTAAAAAATAAAAAGGGTAGCCTAAAAGAAAAATAGAATAAACACTAAAACCAAAGGGTTTTCTCCCCCCTTAAACACTTTTACTTACTGTTCAGTCCCCAAATTCACACTGGTGCCCTACATACTTGCAAAGGATTCAAACTAAGAAAAAGGCAAGACTATTTCTTTAAATAATAAACTAGTATTTATTCTGAACAATAGAAGTTAAACAATGATGAAACAAACCAAATTCATACATCCCACTCCCTAATCACAAGGCTGGGCAATGGGAGAAGCACGCCAGTTTCTTTCAGAAACACATCCAAATATTTTACTAGTCCATTGGGTCAACTATTTTGGTTGCCTTTAAAAGCAACTTGCATTAATTATAAAGAGAAAAAATATTTCTAAATGCACATTAGATTTCATGAGCATAAATGGATGGGGGAAACCCCCAAACATACACAAGCAAGAACCCACCTACCTCATGCACTAGAGCAAGTGAGGTCTGCTTGAAACTTCGCCCTCTACTGGCCATCAGTCGACTCAATGGTTTGCCATCTTTACTTTGGTATGTTGAAATATCATAACAAAATAACATAGCACCTGAAAAAAAAACCCTCATAATAACATTTCTTATGGTAAAATCCATATTCAATCAATCTGGATAGAGATATTTAGAAATTAAAAGAATTTTCTAAGCAAAGGATGATTTTTGACTACTGGTGTCAAAGGAAAGAAAAAACAGAAGAGATGTAAGAAGTTAGCCATTACAATATTCAATACAATATTCACACTCCCAGTTATTTACAAGGCTTATTCATTTATAAATAAGTGAACAGTTTTACAATTTGAGCCTTATTTTAATCTCTACAAGTAACAGTTCACAAAGTTTAAGTTTTTAAGAATAAATTCCAATGAAAGAGAAATGCTTGCAAATATAATCCTTGAGAATTGATATAATCCTTTCGTTTATACCCACAAGTGGATAAGTTTTCCTTCATCCCTACACTCAACATGCATTCACCCTCCCCTTCTTCCTCCTTCCTGTTCCTCTAACCCTTCCTGTCCTCCCCACTCTGGTCAACTAAGTTCTTGAATTGAACTCTCAGTTCTGGCTAACCCCTGGCCCCCCCCGCCCCCCGTCGACTGAAAAGCAAAGATAGGCAGCCAAATGCTAGACCATGAGTGAGAGGAGTCTTGGAAGCTCTCTGGGTAATACTGAGGCAATGAGAAGACACACTCAAGAACTAAGATCATTTAAAATATAAAGATCATTACATTTTAAAACCTCTCTTATTGAAGTTAAGATATGCAACACAGGGAAAGTGCACATTGAGCATACAGCTCAATGAATTCTCACAAACAGCATGTGATCGGCATCCAGATGAAGAAATAAAACATTATCAACACCCCAAAAGCCTTTCTCATGTCTCCTTCCAGTCACTTCCATCCCCACCCCAACGGTAACAGCCTTCTAATGATCATTTTGCCTACTTTGGTACTTTATATAAATGGGATTAGACCGTATATATGCTTTTATATCTGGCTTCTTTGACTCAATAATCATTGCGAGAATCATACACAACATTGGCAGTTTTAGTAGGCTCATTCTTGGGGTGGAATAATACTCCATCATGGGAATGTAACAAAATTGATTTATCCATTTTACTGTCAGTAGGAAAGTGGATAGCTTTCAAGTTGATGGCTACTCACATAATGCTCTTCTGGACATTATAGTATGTCTTTGGGTGATTTCATTTCAGTTTATCCGTAAGAATGAAATGACTAGGTAACACAGGATATGAACGGGTTCCAAACCAGTTTTCCAAAGCAGTCATACGAACTTACATTCCCAGCAGCCATTCTGGTTAGTCCACATATTAACCAATACTTTTTATTTTCCATCTCTTTTCATCTTAGCCATCCTGTTAATGGTATCTTCTTGTGTTTGAATTTGCATTTGACGATGAAGTTGACTATCTACTTGTAAGTTCACTGGACATCTGAATTTCTTCTTCTGGAAAATGTGTTCAATTCTTTTCCCCACTTCCCCCCATTTTTTGAGTGACTTTCTTAACGATTTGCAAAAGCTTCTTGATATAGTCTAAATTGAGCCCTTTATCACAAATATGTATTTGCATTCTGTGGCCTGTTTTTTCACACTCTTAAAGGTAGATTTTGGTTAACACAGGATCTTGATTTTGATATAATTTGTTAGTTTTATAACATGAGACTTTAACTATAGGACCATTTACTGAAAAAGATGGTCTCTTTTCTTCACAGCACTGAGTGTCCCCTGTGTAATAAACCTGGTGACTTTGATACGTGGGTTTGTTTCTGGGTGCTCTATATTCTTTGTTGGTAAATCTGTCTATTCTTGTACCAATGCTACTCTCTCCATATTTTTAAATTTATTTAAAAAATATTTTTGTTTTAATCTTTACAGATTTTTGAGAAAGAGAGAAACAGAGTATGAGCAGAGGAGGGGCAGAGAGAGAGGGAGACATAAAATCTGAAGTAGTCTCCAGATTCTGAGCTGTCAGCACAGAACTTGACATGGGGCTCGAACCCACAAATCGTGAGATCATGACCTGAGGCGAAGTAGGAGGCTCTACAGACTGAGCCACCAGGCGCCCCCACATTCTCAAGTATTGTGGCTTTATGATAGGTCTTGATATCTGGTATTATATATCCTCCTACTTTGTTGCTGCTCTTCAAGATTACTTTGGCTAATTTTGGTCTTTTGCATTTCCACACAAATTTTAGAAGGGGCTTGTCAACTTCCAATATCCTAAGTGGGATACTGCTTGGGACTGGATCGACTCAATCTATTAATTTGAAGATAACTGACATTTTTACAACTTGGTGTCTTCTAGTCCATAAACACTATATATCATTTCACTTACTAGGATTTCTTTAATTTTATTCCATAATATTTTGTAGCTTCCAGGTTAAAGGTTTTACACACTCTGCTAAATTTATCCTAGGTAATTAGTATTTTTCAGTGCTTTGATAAATGGTACAGTCTTTAAATTTTATTTTTGTTATGGTATATGAAAATATATAATTGATTTGCAGGTTAACCTTTGTATGTAATTCAGTAACCTTGCTGAATTCATTTATTAATACTCTTTTTTTCAAGGTTTTTAATTTATCTTGAGAAAGAGAAAGCATGAGCAAGGAGGGGAAGGGCGGGGGGGGGGGGAGGGAGGGAGGGAGGGAGGGAGGGAGGGAGGGAGAGAGAGAGAGTGAGAGAGAGAGAAAGAAAGAGAGAGAGAGAGAGAATATCCCAAGCAGGCTTAGCACTGTCAGCGCAGACCTGACGTGGGGTTCAAGCTAATGAACTACGAGATCATGACCTGAGCCGAAACCAAGGGTCAGACGGTCAACTGACTGAGCCACCCAGGCGCCTCCATTTATTAATCCTAACTAGTTGTAGGTTATTTTGGATTTTCTACATACTACACAATCATCTGCAAATAATGACTATTTAACTGAATAATCACAAATGCCTCTTTTTTTTATTGTTTTAAACTAAGTTTTATGCTCACCATGGGGCTGAAACTCACAACCCCGAGATCAAGAGTCACATGCTCTACTGAGGCAGCCAGGCATCCCACCAATGACTATTTTAATGTCTAGTTCATCATCTGCAAATAATTACTATTTGATTTCTTCCTTTCTAATGCTTATTACTTTTATTTCTTTTTCTTGGCTTATTACATTAGCTACAGTCTTCATTAAAATACTAAATAACAGGGGCACTTGGTGGCTCAGTCGGTTAAGTGTCCAACTTTGACTCAGGTCATGATCTTGCAGTTCATGAGTTTGAGCCCCACATTGGGCTCTGTGCTGCCAGCTCGGAGCCTGGAGCCTGCTTCAGATTCTGTGTCTCCCTCTGTCTGCTCCTCTCCCGTTCACACTCTGTCTTTGTTTCTCTCGCTCTCAAAAGTAAAGAAACATTTAAACAGTTAAAAAAAAAAATACTAATAGTGCTTATAACAAACATCCCTATCTTTTCCCCAATCTCAAGGAGTAAAAGTTTCAATATGTCAGTATTAAGAACAAAAACAATATTGCAGCTGTTCTTTATTAGAATTTAAAAAATGTCCCTTTCGGAGCACCTGGGTGGCTCAGTTGGTTAAGTGTCTGACTCTTAGGTTTGGACTCAAGGTTGGTGAGTTCAAGTTCTGTGTAGGGCTTGCACTGACAGCATGGAGCCTGCTTGGGATTCTCTCTCTATCTCTCTCTGGTCCCCCCACCCCTTTTGAATTCTCTCAAAATAAACAAACATTAAAAAAAAAGTTCCCTTCCATTCATAGTTTAGTGTGAGTCTTTTTTTGTATCATGAATGGGAATAAAACTTTTCAAAGGCTTTTTCTACATCTATTGAGATCATCTGAAGACTGTTCTGCCTTTTTTTTTTATTAATGTACTGAATTATACTGATTTTCAAACACTAAATTAACCCCACTTAATTGTTATGTATTACTCTCTAAGTATTGAATTCAATTTTCTAGTATATTTTTGGGTATTTTTACAACTGTGTTCAAAGGGAGAGATTGGTTAATAGGTTTATAATATTCCCTTCTGGTACTTGGTATCAAGATTATGCTGACTGTATCAAAACTGCTCCCTTTTTCCATTCTCTGTTAGAATTTATGAAAGACCATTATTATTTCTTGATTTCCTATAAGAATTAACTAAGGAAGCCATCTGCACTTCGAGTTTTCTTCGTAGGAAAGTTATTACAGATTTAATTTCTTTCATACATACTGAACTATTCAGATAGTCTATTTCTCCTTCTATCAGTTTTGCAAAATTGTGTATTTTGATGAATTTCTACATCCCATCCTGACTGTGAAACTTATAAAGCTAAAAGTTCTTTATAACATTCTTTTATGGTCTTTTTGAATGCTGTAGGGTCTGAAGAGGTGTCTCCTTTGTTGTTCCTGATTAGAGGTAATATATATTTCTCTATTTTACTGTGTAGACTTACAATGGCTTTATCAATTTTATTAAAGTTTTCCAAGAATCCATTTTTGGCAGTGATTTTCATTATACGTTTTCTATTGTTTTTATTCTTATCTTTATTATTCTTTTCCTTAAGCTTATTTTTGGTTATTCTTGAAATGAAAGCTTAAATCATGATTGTTTTCCTTTCTTATTTTTTAACATATACACTGAAGGAACAAATTTCCATCTAATGCTGCTGTAGCTACATCCCAAGTCATGATGTAGCTTATTTTCATTATGATTCAGTTAAAAATATTTTCTGATTTCCATTTTTATGTTTTCTTTGATCGATCGTTTTTAAGTACATGGTTCAGTTTTGAGGCTACCAGAGACATTCTGGCTATCTTTTTCTTTATTTTTAGCCCAATTCCACCACCATCAGAAGACAGACTCTAAATAACTTCAATGTTTTGAAATTTCTTGAAGTTTATGTCTGTCACATGCTCACTTTGGTAAGTTTCCCAAGTACTGTTAAACAACATAAGAATTCTATCACTGTAAGTTACAATGCTCTATGTCAAATAAAGTTTGTTCACAGTATTATTTTGTAAATTTACTGATTATTTTGGGTCTGCTTTTTCATCAAT